AGTGCAGCTCAATTCATGGTCATCCCTGCTTCTCCAGGGCAGCAGCACAGCCCTGACCAGCTGCACCCCCCTGGCTCTCCAGCAGGGCAGTCAGGCCTCCATCCACCTTGCACTCTGCTCTTCTCCTGACAGTGCAGCCCATCCTCAGGGTACCATCCACCAGCCACCCTGAGACACTCATTTATGAAGTATTCTGTGTACAAAATCATCTCATGTGCTGATGGAGAGCAAATGGTGCTAATGAATGAATCACCTGCTGCCTGCTAATAGAAACTGGTGATGACCCAGGTCACCTCAGAAAGTGTAACAGCTTGTATTAAGCAATGATTAGTTGAAAAACAATACTAAAGAGGCAATAAGGGCTATTACTAAATTCATTCTGTTGTCATCATTAGTGGGGTCAGCTTTCCTGCTCTGTGCTAATTAGATCAGTTAGCAGAAGCTCAGAAAGAGGAACATTTAACCAAAGTGTACCTGGAGCATCCCAGGGACAGCCAGAAGGGATTTCCAAGTACTTGTTGCCTATGAAATTTTGGAAACCCCTTAAACCAGTCATTCAGGTTAGGTGAAGTTATACGGGTTTAATCCTTTCTCTCCCTCCAGCAAAGTACAAAGCACTTTGTCAGGGAGCTGAGGCCAAACCAGCCAGTGTGCCTGCTTTGCTCCTGACACAAGGTAGGGCCTCCCCTCCTGGGTGACTCCACTCAAAGCCAGCAGCTTTCAGTGCTGATAAAGATAAAATTCAGATTCTCTGACCTTTTTTCTAAGGGTATAAAATGATCTTGTTGGGCCAGTATCACACCAGTTTACACTATTGTAGGTAGTGTCCTCTGGGACAAAACTTCCTCTGACCTTCAATTACAAGAGTGACACCTGCCAGAGTAAGTCCACCTCTGGTTCATGCCCTCCACAATTACCAATGCCTGAAGTTTGTAAGCCTTCCAAAAAGATCATTTATCTTAGATTAAATCCAGCACTAAAGTTTTGCCATAAGCACAGTGCACTCCCTAGGACTGACTGTCTTGCACCATGTTGCCTTGGAGACCAGCAGACAAGAATCAGAGACAGGTAACAAACAGTCCTTTCCTTGGAGGAAAGATCCCTCTCCAGAGGGCAGAGAATGTTTCCCAAGAAAGAAGATCAGACTCTACCTGCAAATTCTTCTCTCTGACCAAGAAATAAAGGATTAAATAGAACTGAGACATCCATTTCTTTACACAAAAGTCAAAGTTACAGGCTGAGATCAGACTCTGGGCTGGGAATGTGCACCATGGGACACAAGCACCTGCTACATCTTGCATGCACCAGCCTGGCAAAGCACCTGCAGGGCTCCACCCTGGCCTGCTCACCCCTGGCCAAAGGAGCAGCACAGAGAAGGCTGCACATCCTACCAGCAAGGCATGTGCCTCTGGTACTGCAGACCCCCAGGCCAGAGAAAGGAGGACACACAAAGTCTGACCATCTTTGTTTTTCCTAACCAGGGGCAATGTTGGGAGCACAGCCTGCAGCTCAGCACTACACCACACAAACACCTCCACAAAGATGCAGTGAGCTTTTCATGTGCATTTCAAGGCTTCTTTCTAGCAGAGGTGTCTAGGAGCAGAGAAGGAACTCTTCACAGTGAAGCTAACACCACTGACAAAAGCCTACACTCTCATTAGCAGATTTACAGGACCCAGCTGTTAAAAGCAATCTCAAGAGTGCTCAACACAAGACATCCCCCCAGTAAAAAAGCAATTTTCTACTCAAGTGGCATCAGCACAGTGACAGTCCTCACATTACCACACAGTCCTAGCAGGTCAGAAAAGGAAGGACACAAACCCAAGCAGTGACCATTCCTCCCTTGCAGGACCTTTTCATCGTGGTCAAGAACTATAATGATCCTAAAGGTACCATAACTTGCACATTGTGAGCTGAACCAAGTTTCCTCTGCATATCTGGTGCCTGTCAAGGCATCAAAACACTTTTCTCTCAACTGAAGATTGAGAGAAAGAGGTTAAAGATTCAAAATTGAAGCAGCTGGTTTTATTCCACAGTTCTAAACAACAGTCCTCTCACTGGGATTGCCATAGCATAGATGGAAAACACTCTTCAGTCACTCAGAACATGGCCTTTGGGGTTGGTTTCTATGTGTTTGGGTTTTTTTAAAACCTGTAGAAAGTAAACATTCATATTAGGGAAAAATTAAAAGGGATGAATCTGGCTGATCTACCAAACAACAGGAGTTAAACACTTTTGCTTCAAAACATCCATCCACAAATACCTCAACAACTGCAGAAAGGCATCAAGGAGATCCAACAGCAGGAGAGTTGAGTACTTACCTAGTTAGACTTTATCTTTTGTGTAACAAACCATCTTGACCATATGCTGGACAATTGCCTACTATTGCAGTAGTCAGCAGGATGAATTTACAGATTTCAACTTCCCAAATCAAGCAATGAAATTAATCTAAAAATACTTTAATGTAGCAAGTTTGGCTATAGAACCAGTGCAACATATAGAGAACACCCATCGTATAACCAACTTTACTGCTTATTCTTAACAGAGTAAGCTACAGATGCAACGGATTTACCACAAGTTATTTGGTTAAATTAAATACTGCAGTTAGGATCATGCTGTTGGTAATTGTGGCTTTAACAGTACCAAAGCTCAAGTTGGCTGAGTTAGTTTTACTGTAAGTAAAATGCAAGTTTACAGAGAAACAAAATCATTGAGTATAGTATGCTGTATTCTGCTTCATGCTCAGTCACAATGGTAATGTCTTTGACAGATAAACAGTATTTCAGCATTATGTGAATAATGCCAAAACATACAGGAACTTTAATGCCAGATTTACAACATAATACAGAGCTTAACAAAGAGATTCTCAGGTATGGTGGCCAAGTGAGAACACTGCACAGGACTGAGAAGCATCCAGGTGAACCACACTGAGAGGAATGCTTTGCCTTCTGATGGAATTATTGTTTTACAAGTTTGTGTCCCAAACATAGTGTGACTTTAAATGAACGTTGAACCCTTGCCTCAAACATGAAGCAAAACCTCTGCACGTTAGGTACAAACTTGAACCAGTAAAACCACTTTATGAACAGGAAAAAAAATGGTGATCACCCAACAGATGAGAGCTTGATTCCTGCATTATGTGAACTGAATGGTAATGAAGCTGTAAACAAACTTAACCAAATTAGGTTAATGCGTCTATTCTAACTCAAGAATATTGTAATTTCAGCAAACAGTGATTTATTTATTTATTTTTAAAGCTAAGGACACTATCAGAGGTTTCATTTTTGTTGAAAGCCAAAACTGATATAAAACTGGCAGCTGGCAAATAATTTTTGTTCCCTATTAGCCTTCAGTGACTTCTCCATGTGTGTATATTTCAGCAACATTTTCAACCCCCTTTTTTTTTTATCTCATTCTGCTTCAACTGAAGTTGCTGGTAGCAAAAAGGAAGGAAACACTATCAACACTTGAAAAACTCCTACTCAGAGTGGTGTGGTTTTCCACTGCTGGGGAGGAGATTAGACTGCTGGCATTGTTCTGCATATAGAAAGCAAAACAAAAAACCCAAACCACTAAAGCATTCATTTTTAATTTTAAAAGAAAAACTTCATCAAAATTAAACAGGCTTTGCAAATATGCAAAGAAATATATAAGTGAACCAGATTTGAACCTGTAAACCACAGCAATGTCTTCCTCATTCTTCCTCCCCCCAGTCACCCCAAACTAACAGCATTGCCAAAGTGGCTGGTGTGAAACCTAGAGAATTCAATTCATTTCCATAGAGCCTGGCTCCAAAACTAAAAAGAAAAAGAAACTTTGTCCCTGCCACAACTAGTTTTATATCTTTTTCCTGCATTTTGTAATGCACTCATGCAAACATAAGGGGGTTGTGTTGCTTTGGGTTTTTTTGTGTTGTCCTTCCTGAACAGGCTTAAGAGTTGTGCAAGACCAAACTGAACAAACTTTTGTTTCACCTCAGAAAGATTTTATATTACCAAATCATTTCTCTTCATAACTAAAGGCAACAAGAAATAAATCCATAGTAATGAAAAAAAAACAACAAACGAACGAACAAACAACCAAAACTCTGTAGTTAAACTTCTTTTTCAAGTATGTTTCTCCCCTCATGAAAGAACTGCATCAGCCATATTACTGATGATAAATCCATGTCACCACCACTAGGATTCAGACACTGGTCCAGACCTCCTAGAACTGGGTTCAGCTGGATCTCCAGCTGAGTTTACACAACTGGAAGCAGGAGGCTGATGGGCACACACGCACACAACACACCACTCCTCACCTCCCTGATTCTGACCACATCCACCATCACACCCCTGCCACATCCCCCAAGCAGGAGAGATGGAACAGGAGCTGCAAAGTGATCTTGGACAGGTACCATTGTTCACTGATCAACCAGCTGCAAATCTGGTTTGTGCTGATGCAGATGCACTTTGCAGACCTACTAGACTGGGCAATTCTGCCCACAGTCTTCCTACACAGCACAGCATAAAACACATCTTAGTATTTCAGCCTGGAATTCACACCTCAATCTATTGCAATTATGGAAGCCAATGCAAAGTCAATGAGAGGTTTCTACAAAAGCTGGTCCCAGCATTAAACACTAACACACATGAAAAATCAAAAGGGACAAACTTCCAAGTCACTATCAGTGATGATGATAGGATCAACCTTTCTTTCTTCCTCCTTAGGTCCACCTCCCATTAATGCAAGAGAAAAGTGCCACTTTGCAGCATGTTTGTTCACATCAAGTTTTTCCTCAGGAACACATTTTGCAGTAACAAAATATGGTCTATAAAGTTGCAAAGTGCACAAGCTGAAGGCACAGAGTACAAACACATAGGAAAACAGATTTCAAAATATCAACAACAGAAGTGAAGAGAGAAAAAGAAAATCTGGAATTTAAAACTCCCTGACGGAACAGAAACTTATATGGGACCAACTCTTAAAAGGTGACAATTTTTAAACTAATGAACAAATACTGCAAAATAATGAAACTTTATTCTTATTAAGTAAAAGCTCCAGAAAATACCTTGAAGTTTAAAAACTAATACACTGACGTGTTAACTAGTTTTAACAATGTCCTTAACATTAAGAAAAGAGTGCAAAAAGATTCTCCCATTCAAACGTTTTTGGAAGCTGCTGATTTTGGCTGCCCATTTCCACTTTGAAAGGATAGTTTTTCAAGGTGCATTCCTCACAAAAATCACTGAACTTGAACTTGTTGGGAGGCCAGACCACGGAATCACGTCTTTCAAAAAAAATCTCTCAATTGTAGCAGCAACTGACATTTTATTCTAGAAAGAAGAAAGTCTAAAACTCTTCTTTGAGGCATAGTTTGTGTCAGAGCCTGAGTATCAGCAGTTGCCAAAGGAGGCTCCGGATACCACCCGTGCTGCTCCAGTGTCTGTTCTGGCAAGGAATAAAGGCTGATCCAGTATATTCACTATCTGTATCCCCTGGAGCTTGCACAAGCTGATGAGCCATCTGAAATTAGATACAAAGTTCAATAAATTCTCTCATATTAAACTTCCACCTTAAGTCCTTTGCCCCCTTCCCCCAGCAACTCAAAACCCAGCCTTGCTTCAAAACATTAACACTGGAAACAGAAGCTGAGACCCCACATTCCCACCCATCCACTCATTCCAGGCTGCAGTAACAGTTCATCATAAAACTGTGGTATCTTATGGTAGGAAATAAAGCAAACATACTCAGCTGAAATCACAGGGGGAAACTTGGTGGAAAGCATGCAATAAAATGAAGTTAACCACACTACAAGGACAGACACTATCTCCCGGCCCCCAAGGCTATTTAATGACAAACAGGACCTTGAACTTGAACCCTAAGCTAGAATGTAAGGGACTAGACTCGCTACTAGATGAATATTTAGTCAGCACAGAAGATTTCTGTACCCAAATTAGGGCTGTCCAGAGTAGAGCAACCAACTGAGAATGGAAATCATCCTCCCTGTGTCTCTTCCCCACACTCAGGGGAAATTAAGGGAGCACCAAACTGAAGAACCTCCCAGTTCAACATGCAGCAAAAGACTTAATCTACAAGTGGAAGAGAACTTTCTGTTGCATGACTTGAACATTTGTAGCCAAAACTTGCCTTTAGTGTCTCAAGGCAGGTGGATCCCAGGCTGTGCTTTAGGCAGGTAATTGAGGGTTCCAAGTCGAAACGCACAAGTATCAGAGGTGGCCTGGCTCATCACTTGTGATGCCCCTGCTACCTCCATCCTGACCAGGCAGCACCTTGGGACAACTACCTTCTTTTTCCTCAAGACTTCAGCTTCCCCTTAAGTGAAGTGGATATATCTTGGCCTCAGTAGCTAGGGTATCCTACCACCCCACCCGTGGCTGTGGGACTCTAGCACAGTCAGCCACGTAAAGGTTTCATTGGCAACCAGCTAGCTACATGTGGAGATGGCATCTCTGATACCTCTCCACCACCTTTATGCCCAACCTGTCAGGACTGCAGCACACAGGGTCAGATGCATACTCACTGTAAGTTAGTTCTTCTCCAGCTCTCTTGCGTGACTGGTCACCTCTAGGAAAGAAGAAAGGTGTTCTCATGATCACCTGAACTAATGGAAGGTGTCCCTGCCCACTGCAGGGGGGCTGGACTAGATGAGCTTTAAAGGTCCCTTCCAACCCAAAGCATTCTATGACTTTAAAAAAGGGAGAACCTCAGCACAATCATCAACTTGTAGAGACTTTGGAAACAACATGCAAACACAGCAGCAATAAGACATGACTGCAGGATTCTCAGCTTACTTAACCAGAAGCATATGCTGTATTTTATAGATTTAATTAGCTCAGCCCTTTGTTAAAGACAGTAGGTTTGATTTTATAGGATAATTTTTTACAACACTAAGACGAGGCATATTGCTCATATGTACTGTGGTCTTAAGTCATGCATAAAATTGTTTTCCTTAATTCCAACTCCTCAACCAAATTTCATAGAAGTGAAAAACTGATTCCATCGGTCTAAACAGGTTCGATGCACCTGAAAACCCAACAATCAGACTCTAAACAACTCTGAGCTGTCATCACTCCCTCTGTAAGCAGGAGGTTTTAGTAAATAACTGAAGTTGTATAAACACTGGTTGACATCATTGCCCCTGAAAACTCAAATTCTCATCTCTTTGAAAAAAAAACCATTTTTGTCCCTTTATTCTTGTGCGCACAAAGTCTTAAAGCTGGAAAAGTTTCCTGCTTCACAAATTTCTTCTGATGATAGATATGTTGTTGATACTGCTTTATGTAAGACAAAAAGATTCCAGTATACTTTCATCACAGTGATTATGATTTCACATTTATCTGCTTGGAAATTGGTAGAAATTAGGGAGTTTTCTAATAATACAAAGTACTCTTCCCTGAAGCCACTCTTAAGGTGATGGACTGGCTACATATGCCTTGAGCAAGGTCTGTCACCAGAGAAATGCTGCCAAGCAACTGGCTTGTGTTCCCACTTTCTGCAGCAACTATGGTATTTAATAGTGTTGATAAGCTGACTATTTCAGGTAGAACCTGACGTGCCATTAATGCTGCTCAAGACACCTCACTGTGCTGTGCTCCTCATGGTCGTTGTAGGAAACAAGCAGCAAAGACATCACCAAGTTTGGGCACAATTAGAGGTGAAGAGATGACATTTCATACTACCCCAAAGGGGAACAGACTTGGCATACTACTTGATAAATGAGAAAAACAACCTTTTTATAAATAGATGCACCTATATCTGAACAAATATAACATCAACACAATTCTGAAAAGTTATAAATATATCCTATGTTCATAACACAGGAAGAGGTTTATTACATCTTGAAATGCATTTCAAGGCAAAATGCACTTCAAATACCACTCTGAAATGCCATGTAGCAAATATATTACCTGAATGTCAGTTTTATTTTATCTATGTCCTTTTTAACAATGACAGACTCTAACACTTTAAACCACCTCCATGTTTACCAGATTGCACTGACTCCCTGCCAGCACCATCAAGCAAAATATGCTGTGCAAAACATTCATCAGCCACTAAATGCCATCCATCAGTTATTCCACTGCAAAGTTTTATTTTGTATTTTCATTTAATAAACTGAAAACAACCTACATAGATCCAGGAAATGCACAAAAAGCATGGGACTGAGGGGGGCCATTTTTCTAAATCTACAAGGCACACCAAAACTCTTCCCATGTCTGACAGTCAGAAGATGCCATGCTGCTGAGAGCCAAAAGGAAGAGAAACTCTTAGAAATTAGACTCTGCAAATAATATGTGACACAGAAACCTTTACTTAGTTTTTCCTTTTAAGACTAAGGATGATCACAGGACTGCAGGACCTGCCATATGAGGAAGGGCTGAGAAAACTGGGCTTGTTTAGCCTTGGGAAAAGAATCTTATTACCATGTTCCAGGACTTAAAGGGTGGCTACCAAGAAGATGGAGATTCCCTGTTTACAAGGAGTCACATGGAAAATACAAGGGGTGATGAGCACAAGTTGCTCCTGGAGAGATTCCCATTGGACACAAGGGGTAAATTTTTCACCACTCAAACACTGGAACAGTCTCCCAAGGGAAGTGGCAGATTTCCCCACATTGGACAGTTTCAAGTCTCAGTTTGACAGGGTGCTGAGCAACCTCATATAAACTATAGTAGTACCTAGAAAGGTTGGACCAGATGATTCTAGAGGTCCCTTCCAGCCTGGCATTCTGTGATTCTATGACTATCCTCAAGCCCCTCAAGCCCTTCTTTGGCCCTCCCCATCACACAGGATAGAAAGAGTTTCCTATGGATTTGCATTAGTTCTAGTGCTAAAGAACTACTTTTCTGCATAAAATATAAGATGCTAAAATACACTCTGAAGATCCTACTAAGTCTCTAACCAGAGAGCACCACAGAGACATCTAGCCCTTGCAATGGTCAGTGTCCTGCCTGCCTCCACCCTTCCTAGTCTTGGACATAGTAACATCCTCACAGCATCAACACAAGACCTTCACAGCCAAGCTGACAAGCCTGGCTTATTTTCAGGTACCTAAGGAAAAATATTTTTGAAATTAATTGTTTTTGTGGCTGTGGACTGTTATTACTTGAAACTTCATTTCAATTCTCTATGAAGTGTGAAACTAGAAAAATGCAGTTGTAAGCAGAACTATTACAAGCCACCTACAGAACTAGTAAAACTGAAAGTCAGATAAAACTAAAATGTTCCTGTTTTGTTTCATTCTGTGCATTACATTCTTTTGTCAGCATTATATGCCTACTCAGTTTCAAAGTCTCAGGCTTCTGTTTCTTGGGCAAAGAAACACTGCTTTTTTCAGCCCAGGTTCTTATGGCTTTGTTTTTAGTATCTTAACTCATGCAGATCTATAAAAAAATGTTTTCCTCAACAGAAAGCCTTACAAGGAGTGAGTCTACAACACCATTTGCATTTGGGTCAGCAGCAGAGTGTTGAAGCTCAATAATTTACCATGCTTTGAAGACAGAAACTGCTTTTGAGGAAAACTGTGAA